GGTCTATTTTGTTGCCAGTACCATGCTGATTTTATCACAGTAGCCTTGTAGTATAATTTCAAGTCAGGAATTGTAATGCCTCCTGCCTTGTCTTTGTTTCCCAGGATTGCCTTTAATATCTAGGTCTTTTTGCTTCCAAATAAATTTGAGGAACACTTTCTCTAGGTCTGTGAGGTATGTTAGTGGTAGTTTGATAGGGATTGCATTAAATCTGTACAGCAATTTTGGGAGTATGGCCATTTTCACAATGTTGATTCTTCCTATCCAAGAGCAGGGAATATCTTTCCATTTTCTGAAATAATCTAGCATCTCTTTTTTGAGAGTACTGTAATTTTCCTTGAAAAGATCTTTGACTTTTTTTTTTCTTTGACTTCTTTAGTCAAATTAATTTCAAGGAATTTCATTTTCTGCAGTAAAAGGTATTGTTTCTCTAACATCCCTCTCAGTGTGTCTGTTATCTGTGTAGAGGAATGCTATTGACTTTTGGGTACTGACTTTGTATCCTCGAACCCTTCATATTTAAGTGGATGCCACTTGAAGATATACTCATAAGTGAAATAAACCAGACCCACATGTGTAAATATCATATAATCTCCCTACTATAAGAGCTCAAAAGAGGAAATAAATAGAAAGGTATAACACAATTAAAAGGAAAGCAGTACTTGAGGATTAGACAATGAAGAAAGGGCAAGGAAAAAAGCTAGGAAACATGACAAGGGCAAAGCCATACCTTTACATGTACAAGATGGGTAAGGCAATGATCCTAAGAATCTTCAGCAGGTTTTTCACACTAGCAGTTAACTGGTAGAATTCAAACCCTGACTAACTATATATGCTGATACTTGTGAGCTAAGCAACTTCACTGAAGATAGTAATGTGTAATAGTTGGGTCATGCTTGGAATACCTGTCATTCTGGCCTTCTAAATACATACCGCTTGTCATGACATAGCAATTACTGCCATACTGTCTCTCAAGTAAATGTTTGTTTTTTTAAAAAAAGTTAATAAATGAAAACAAGAGACAAGGAAAAAAAAATGTCACAGGACTGTCCTACAAGGCTGCATAGGGTTAGATTTCTAAACTTCTATGTAAAATATGCAATTGTTAATTCCTATATTTTTCAAAATACTATTTTATATTTTTAATTTTTTTCTTCATATTCTGTAGGGGCTTAAAAGTTAATATATCAATATTTGATGGAAAATACCTGGTCCATGTTATGCCTAAGATGTTTGATGTTCAGACAGATAGTGAGATTAAGCTCAACTGCCCATGTTGTAGGGTAATAACAATAAGCTTCTTCTCTGGAGGGTTAACAACTTAAGTTTGCAGACAAAACATTAGAGAAAAAGGAGGGCTGGAAGGACAGCCAACATTTTGGCCCTAGCCTTTCAAGGTCAGTGAAGACTCAGGACATAGGAGAACCTGTACTGTAACATCATGTAACTCAGTTGTATCCCAAATTTTCTGATCAAAGAGTTTATGGGACCACAGAGGAATGTGATCAATGATGTAGAGTATGCCTAAGGTGAGGCATATGGAGAGAAAACATTCTCTCAGACTTTCACAGAGAGCAAATTGGTCAAGCAAAAGCCGGGACTCATCCGCAAGGCTGACACTAACAAAGGATCTACAAACTGTGGTATAGGGTTTCTGGGTAAATCCTGAGGGGATTGACTGACCTTATCAGATACAAAAGCTACATTTCTTGTTATATAGGTCTTATTTTATCTTGGTCTTAACCATCCAGCAGAAAAGTATAAAAATGAGGTATAAAAACTAAAGCCATATTAATATGCTGAGCTCTAAAAGCCTCAAGTCAACAACTCCTGACATTGACAATCTTATGGGAAACCCACTACTATTATGGACTACTGGAGTGTATTGCAATATTTTTCTGAATTCATCCAACACCTCAGAAAAAAGCAGGGGTAGCAATCCTGTTCACAGAGTCTCAACTTCAAACCAAGAATGATCAACATAAAGAAGATGGCTGCATACTGGTTAGGGGAAAAATTCAAGAGGAAGAAGTAACACTCATAAATATGCACGCACCAAACACAGTAGCACACAACTATATAAGACAAATCTTAATCGACATGAAAAATCTAATATCCAACACCACAATCTCAACAGGAGACTTTAAAACATCCTTATCACAAAAAAGATAGGTCAAGCCCCACTACAACACACACATTTAAAAAATTAAGAATTAAAAAGCTATTTTATTATTGTGGCTGGGGAAATAACTCAGCAGTCCAGCTGCCTGCCTGGCAAGTGCAAGGACCTGGACTTGATCTCTGGTACTGCATGCCATGCTGGCCCCAGAACCCCCAGTGCACCATGCTAGTCACTGAAACCCAGCGTGGTGGTGCACATCTGTACTGCTAGTTCTGGGAAGTCTGATACAGGAGGATCACTACAAGTCTGAGCTGTGTAGTGAGATCCTGTAACAAATAATAAATTTTAGTCATGCTGAGACAGAAAATCCATAGATATGAGGCATTAAAATTTGACCATATTGTTTCCTCATAACCATTACCTTAAAAAGCTAATGAAATGAATTAATCCAGTGACAAAGCTGGTGATTAAAACTGAATTAATTTTTATAAAAGTGAGATTTTTTATATGTTTCTGTACTTTGATGAAAATAATATCAACTGAAAGATTCTAAAACAAAATCTAGTACATACAATCAGTATATATAACTTATTGATACTCGTATTGTAACAAAAATATGATCAACAAAAAATCTTATTGAATATTTGAAGTTTTTCAATTCTATAGCTTATAAGAAATTCATCTAACTAATCACATGGTTTCACAGGACAAGCCTATAAATAAGTCAACTACTTAAAGGAGGGCATAGGAGATAGCTCAGTGATCTAAGCACCTGCCTGGCAAGTGCAAGGACCCAGGTTGGATCCCCAGAACCACATGCTGTGCTGGTTCCAGTACATGCCATGCCTGCCACAGAACCGAGCATGGTGGCACAAGCCTATAATCCCAGTGCTAGGGAGGCTGAGACAAGAGGATCACTACAAGTCCAAGCTCCACAGCAAGACCCTGTACCAAATAAATAAATAAATAAATAAACAAACAAACAACTAAACATTTTTAAAATATATTTAAAAAATAGGAAAATATTTCAAGGGAAAGCTGAAACAGGCTTCTTCAAAATTGCAGCTATGACCACACTGGCATATCCCATACTTTCAGAAAAATCATTTAATACTGCTAAGATAGAGTCTGACATAGTTCTATAAAGGAAAAATTATTTGGCCAATGTAAAAGATTAAAAGATGGAACAATGAGTTGTTAATATACCAAGAATACCAGATAATTTGTTCCTATGTGAGAAGATGTAACAAATTTTTCATTACCTTTACATTTGGCTTCTTTGTTGAAACTCCTCTGTACCAACCTAAAACAAAGCACACAAATGATTTTAAAATCACATTCTTGTCATTTTTGTAAGAGAATAAAAGAATTTTTAGAAATACACATGCATATAAAACCTTCCTGAACCCATCAACTATAGCTTTATTAGGATCTGGAGTTGTCCTAGTACAGTAGTTCACTCTAAAAATAATAGTCTTATGATGAATATAGTCTCAATTTTCAAAACAAGGTATTATGGTTTAGATAAAATGTCCCACAAAAGTCTCATGTGTTCAGAAGTAAGCCATTCAGAAGGTGACTGGATTGTGGGAGTGTTACATGCATCCGTGAATTAATCCAGTAATGAGTTCAGGGCTGAATCTGCTATCAGGAAGTAAGGCCTGGCTTGAGGTAGGTCACTGAGAACATAAACTAACAGGGTGAGTTCTTGTCCTTGGATCCTTCCTTCTCTTTCAACTTCCTTCATGCAATACATTAAGCATTTTTCCTCCACTCCACTCTCCACCTTGTCATTTCTGCCTTGGAAAAACCTAATCACAGACCCACTGGAAACTGAGCCAAATAACTCCTTTAAGTTGTGTCAAGTATTTTATACCTGTGGTGGAGAAGTGACTTATATACAAGCCATAATACCTTTTCAACTGAACATAATATTTGAAATTAGGAAAGACCTCAAGGGACATGTAAATCATTTACACAAAAATTACCACATAAAAGTACTAAAAGAAAATGCTTGAAAAATTGGATTTGGAAGTTATTGTTTGTTTTATGGCAGATAAAGAGTACAGGAGTATAGCCAAGACTTTGCTTCCTGATCTCATTCACTTTCCCATATAATACACTGTATTATTTTCATTTCTTTGCTCACAAGCTACTAAAGTCAAAATACTTTCTAGCACAGGTCTCTCTTCATTTATTTATTTGCAGTATTTATATATAGTAAAATTATTGAAAGTTACAATCACATAATAAAAACAATTTTCAGGGGCATAAAATTTTATTTCAAACTTCTCCCACTTCCATTTTATTACTTTCAGATTCTTTCTTTAGTTTCTTAACTGAAGAAGAAGATACTACATGTAAGAAAGTAAGGGAAAAGTTATATTTAAATGAAGAAGGTGAAAAAAAGTGAAGATTATTAATAACAATGAATATTCATATAGAATTTATTGTTCTTAATTCTGTGTACTAGAACTGAGGGCACTTATCATTTACTAGCCCTTAAATCCCACTGGATCTCACAATAAAGCTGTGAGAAAAAGAATAATCAGAAAATAGCAAACAACAAGTAGAAAGCTTTGTTTCTTTTTAGAGCAACAAATGATACAATGAATTTAACTAATTTTATATTCCTGAATCTCAATTCTGCATTTATTAAAAAAGTGACAGTCTCACCAACATGACACTTCATAGAATATTAAGAAACATAAAGAGGAGCCAGGGAGATGGCTCAGTGGAATAAGTGCTTCCCCGGCAAGCACAAGGGCCTGAGTTCAATCCCTGGTTCCACAAAAAAAAATAATAATAATTAATTAATTAATTAATTAAATGCGCTTAAAAAAAAAAGAAAGAAACATAATGACATCAGAATGGTGGACAGAATAAGGCTATCCAGAAAACATCACCTCAATAAAAGCCATGAGAACAGTACAAAACTACATTAGTCAAGGTCATGAAACACTGGTGAAATTATAGGCAAATAGATTTGTAGAATCAAATAGAGAATCCAGAAACATACACCCAAAAGACACCCCACCAATCTTTGACAAAGGAGCAACATCAATACATTGGGGAAAACATAGTATTCTCAAGAAATGGTGCTAGAACAACCAGACTTCCATACGAAAAAAGTAAAACTATACATAGACTTCATACGGGTCACAAAAATTAACTCAAAATGGATAGAATTACATGTAAAATGCAAACACACAAAAACTTCTAGAAGATAACAAAAAATCTGGATAATACTGGGTATGATGATTTTTTAAATATGAGACCAAAGGCACAATTCATAAAATTAATAAGAAGCAGAACCCTATTAAAATTTTAAAGTATCTGTTCCATGATAGATAATGTCAAGAGGAATGTATACCAATTCTTAGAGAAAATATTTACAAGAGACATATTTTATAATGGATTATTGCCCAAAATATGTATAAAGAAGTCCTAAAATTCAACATTGAGAAAATAACCTAATTAAAAAACAGGCAGAAAAACTTGAACAAGAAAGGAATACAGGAGCAGGGCACGGTGGCGCACACCTGTAAGTTCAACATCCTGGGAGGCTAATGCAGGAAGATTTCAAGTTCAAACCCAGTCTGAACAACTCAGTAACTTTTCAAGACCGCATCTCTAAAAGTAAAATAGGTCTGAGTCTATAATTCAGTGATAGAGTGCTTTCCTACCATGAGAACACAGGTTTGATCCCCAGCAACACACAAACACACATGCTCACAAAAAGAAGGAAAAGTAGTGCAGTGGAAAATAAGAATATGAAAAGATGTTCAACATCATTCTGACTAGAGAATTGCACATTAAAGAAACAATAAGGGTTGGAAGAAGAGTAGCCCAATGTTTAAGCACACTTGTCTATTCTCCCCAAGGTTCTGGACACAGCAAACACACACACAAGCACATGTGTGCACATATGTACATACACACAAACAAATGAGACATCATTGTATACTTATTAGAAAGGCTGAAATCTGAACATGACACCAAGTTCTAGTGAAGATGCAAAACAATAAGAATTTTCTACAGGAATTTTGGAAGAAATTTAGAGGCTTCTTACAAAACTAGAGTCTTACATTATGATCCATCAATATGCACTGCCTGTTATTTGTCCAAATCAGTTAAAAACATACACACACACAAACAAAACAGACTGCAAATGGACATTTACAGGAATTTTACTCATGACTATCAAGTTCCAAAAGCAACCAAATTAGGTAAATAAGTTAATAAACTGGTACAACAACTTGATGGTATGCTATCCTGTGATATAAAGATACAAGCTGTCAAGCCATGAAAAGACATGCAAGAACCTTAAGTGCATAACTCATGTACTTCATAATGCAAGTTGATGATATACCATTTCTTTGTAGCCAACCCTTCTCTGTGACTCTTCTTTCCCTCCCCAGACCCATCAAGCAATGATCTAAGTGGATTCTTTTTTTTTTTTTTTTTTTTGGAACCGGGGATTGAACTCAGGCCCTCATGCTTGGCAGGAAAGTGCTTATTCCACTGAGCCATCTCCCCGGCCCTCTAAGTAGATTCCTTAAAAAAACATTATCTCCACTGGCTGGCACCAACTGGGAAGGTATAGACAGAGTAATGCTAAGGATTGAACCCTGGGCCACAAGCATGGTAGACAAGTTGAGACTGCTGACCTCAAATTTTCAAATAGTTGGGATTGCATATATCACCATGGCTGGCCTGAATACAATTTTGTAGGTCAGAATTGTGTTCGTTGAACCTCACCCACCACATTTTGGTTGTCATTGTAGTTAACATGTACTAATTGTGCACATTAATGGGATTCAATGTGAAATACATATAATGCCTGACCAGATTTAAATTTTTTCATTCAACTCTCTCCCAAATACATACCTCCCAATCTCTAGCTTCCATTCTCATATAAAAAGAGAACATATGGTACTAGACTTTCTGTATTTGGCTCATTTCATTTAACATTATGTCTTCCTCAAGTTCTATTTTGCTGCAAATGACAGCACTGTAATTTTGATGTGTATCTCTCTAATAGCTAGTTATATTGACATGTTTTCACACATTTGTTGGCCATTTCTTATTCTTTTAACATTTTTATTTTTTTTAACATTTTTATTTTTTAAAATGAGAAAAAACTATAATTAAAACAAAAATATACATGTGATACAGAATTTCACTTAACAAGTAATATGAATTTCACAGTATTTGTTGTAATACAGTGTTGCCTTCCAACCAGTTACTCATATTACCAGATTTATGCATGTAAAATTTGAAGAAAAAATAAATGTATATGAAATTTAGAAGACAAAAAGTACAAACACTGAAAAAAGAGACAAAACAAATGAAGCATTAATTGCTTCTTTCCATAGACTAGGAGAAATACATAGTATAGTTCTTCAAATCATCCTGTTTACATACATAGAAAAATCTCTTTCCCCAACTCCCTCTCCTGTGCTTCTCCTCAACTCAGTAACTCATTCCTTTTGAATAAGTACATTACCTTTTCCCAGTATCTATTGTACCATTCAGACTCCATTGTTCTCTTTCAGGTTCTCAAACTAAGGAGACAATACGATGCTTGCATATGCGGGTCTCATTTGCTTCACTTAAGAGTGTGTTCTCTAGTTTCATTCATCTACTGAAAAAAGCCTCAAATGTATCCTGTTTTGTAGCTGAATAATGCTCCATTGTGTAAAAAATACCATATCTTTTTTATCCATTCTTCCATTGATGGGCATCTGGGTTGTTTCCAAGATTTAGCTATGACAAATCAAGCTGCTATAAACATGGGTGCCATAAATCACTGTGGTATGAGGTTTTCAGTACTTCTGGGAAAATACTCAGGAGGGGAATAGCTGGCTTGAATGGGATCTCCAATCCTCACTTTATAAAAATCTCCACAGTGATTTCCATAGTGGCTGTACCAGTCTGCTCTCCCACCAACAGTGGAGAAGGGTTCCTTTTTCTCCACATCCTCTCCAACATTTATGGGCTGAATTCTTTGTGTTAGCCACTCTTTCCAGGGTGAGACGGAATCTCAGTGTGTTTTTTGTTTATTTTTTTAATTTTTTAAAAAGAGCACAAATTAGAATCAAAGGAGAAAAAATATAAGTGATACATATTTTCACTATGAATTTCACAGTATTTGTTGCAATACATAATGTTGTCTTCCAATCAGTTATTCATGTTACCAGGTATATACATGCAACATTAGAAGAAACAAAAAGAGAAAGAAAAGTGTAAGAAATTAAAAAGAGAAAAAGTACAAACAATTGAAAAGAGGAGACAAAACAA